CAAGTGGGTGTTCTGTCCCCCCGTGTTCTGTCCCCTCGTGTTCTGTCTCCCCGTGTTCTGTATCCCCGTGTTCTCTCGTGTTCTGTTTCCCCGTGTTCTGTCTCCCCGTGTTCTGTCTCCTCGTGTTCTCTCTCCCCGTGTTCTGTCTCCCCGTGTTCTGTCTCCTCGTGTTCTGTCTCCTCGTGTTCTGTCTCCCCGTGTTCTGTCTCCTCGTGTTCTCTCTCCCCGTGTTCTCTCTCCCCGTGTTCTGTCTCCTCGTGTTCTGTCTCCCCGTGTTCTGTCTCCTCGTGTTCTCTCTCCTCGTGTTCTATCTCCCCGTGTTCTGTCTCCTCGTGTTCTGTCTCCCCGTGTTCTGTCTCCTCGTGTTCTGTCTCCTCGTGTTCTGTCCCCTCGTGTTCTGTCTCCTCGTGTTCTGTCCCCCGTGTTCTGTCCCCCGTGTTCTGTCCCCTCGTGTTCTGTTTTCGTGTTCTGTCTCCCCGTGTTCTATGTCCTCGTGTTCTGTCCCCTCGTGTTCTGTCTCCTCGTGTTCTGTCTCCTCGTTTTCTGTCCCCTCGTGTTCTGTCCCCCGTGTTCTGTCTCTTCGTGTTCTGTCTCCCCGTGTTCTGTCTCCTCGTGTTCTGACCCCCCGTGTTCTGTCCCCCGTGTTCTGTCTCCTCGTGTTCTGTCTCCCCGTGTTCTGTCTCCTCGTGTTCTGTCTCCCCGTGTTCTGTCTCCTCGTGTTCTGTCCCAACGTGTTCTGTCTCCTCGTGTTGTCTCCCCGTGTTCTGTCCCCCGTGTTCTGTCTCCTCGTGTTCTGTCCCCCCGTGTTCTGTCTACTCGTGTTCTGTCCCATCGTGTTCTGTCCCCCGTGTTCTGTCTCGTGTTCTGTCTTCGTGTTCTGTCCCCTCGTGTTCTGTCTCCCCGTGTTCTGTCTCCACGTGTTCTGTCTCCTCGTGTTCTGTCTCCTCGTGTTCTGTCTCCCCGTGTTCTGTCCCCTCGTGTTCTGTCCCCTCGTGCTCTGTCCCCTCGTGTTCTGTCTCCTCGTGTTCTGTCCCCTCTTTCTGTAACTCTCGTGTTCTGTCCCCTCGTGTTCTGGCCCCTCCCCTCGGGTTCTGTCTCCTCGTGTTCTGTCCCCTCGTTCTGTAACTCGTGTTTTGTCCCCTCGTGTTCTGTCTTCCCGTGTTCTGCCCCTCGTGTTCTGTCCCCTCGTGTTCTGTCTCCTCGTGTTCTGTCTCCCCGTGTTCTGTCTCCCCGTGTTCTCTCTCCTCGTGTTCTGTTTCCCCGTGTTCTGTCTCCCCGTGTTCTGTCTCCTCGTGTTCTCTCTCCCCGTGTTCTGTCTCCCCGTGTTCTGTCTCCTCGTGTTCTGTCCCCTCGTGTTCTGTCTCCTCGTGTTCTGTCTCCTCGTGTTCTGTCTCCCCGTGTTCTGTCCCCTCGTGTTATGTCCCCTCGTGTTCTGTCTCCTCGTGTTCTGTCTCCCCGTGTTCTGTCCCCTTGTGTTCTGTCCCCTCGTGTTCTGTCTCCCCGTGTTCTGTCCCATCGTGTTCTGTCTCCTCGTGTTCTGTCTACCCGTGTTCTGTCTCCCCGTGTTCTGTCTCCTCGTGTTCTGTCGCCCCGTGTTCTGTCGCCCCGTGTTCTGTCCCCCCCGTGTTCTGTCTCCCCGTGTTCTGTCTCCTCGTGTTCTGTCTCCCCGTGTTCTGTCTCCTCGTGTTCTGTCTCCCCGTGTTCTGTCTCCTCGTGTTCTGTCTCCCCGTGTTCTGTTTCCTCGTGTTTTGTCTCCTCGTGTTCTGTCGCCCCGTGTTCTGTCCCCCCCGTGTTCTGTCTCCCCGTGTTCTGTCTCCCCGTGTTCTGTTTCCTCGTGTTCTGTCTCCTCGTGTTCTATCGCCCCGTGTTCTGTCGCCCCGTGTTCTGTCCCCTCTTGTTCTGTCTCCCCGTGTTCTGTCTCCTCGTGTTCTGTCTCCCCGTGTTCTGTTTCCTCGTGTTCTGTCTCCTCGTGTTCTGTCTCCCCGTGTTCTGTCTCCCCGTGTTCTGTCTCCTCCTGTTCTGTCTCCTCCTGTTCTGTCTCCTCGTGTTTTGTCTCCTGTTCTGTCGCCCCGTGTTCTGTCTCCCCGTGTTCTGTTTCCTCGTGTTCTGTCTCCTCGTGTTCTGTCGCCCCGTGTTCTGTCTCCCCATGTTCTGCCCCCCCGTGTTCTGTCTCCCCGTGTTCTGTCCCCCGTGTTCTGTCCCCTCGTGTTCTGTCTCCTCGTGTTATGTCCCCTCGTGTTCTGTTTCCTCGTGTTCTGTCTCCTCGTGTTCTGTCTCCCCGTGTTCTATCTCCTCGTGTTCTGTCCCCTCGTGTTCTGTTTCCTCGTGTTCTGTCCCCTCGTGTTCTGTCTCCTCGTGTTCTGTCTCCTCGTTTTCTGTCCCCTCGTGTTCTGTCCTCCGTGTTCTGTCTCCTCGTGTTCTGTCTCCCCGTGTTCTGTCTCCTCGTGTTCTGTCTCCTCGTGTTCTGTCTCCTCGTGTTCTGTCTCCTCGTGTTGTCTCCCCGTGTTCTGTCCCCCGTGTTCTGTCTCCTCGTGTTCTGTCTTCGTGTTCTGTCCCCCCGTGTTCTGTCTACTCGTGTTCTGTCCCATCGTGTTCTGTCCCCCGTGTTCTGTCTCCTCGTGTTCTGTCCCCTCGTGTTCTGTCCCCCGTGTTCTGTCTCGTGTTCTGTCTTCGTGTTCTGTCTCGTGTTCTGTCTTCGTGTTCTGTCCCCTCGTGTTCTGTCTCCCCGTGTTCTTTCTCCTCGTGTTCTGTCTCCCCGTGTTCTGTCTCCACGTGTTCTGTCTCCTCGTGTTCTGTCTCCCCATGTTCTGTCCCCTCGTGTTCTGTCCCCTCGTGCTCTGTCCCCTCGTGTTCTGTCTCCTCGTGTTCTGTCCCCTCTTTCTGTAACTCGTGTTCTGTCCCCTCGTGTTCTGGCCCCTCCCCTAGTGTTCTGTCTCCTCGTGTTCTGTCCCCTCGTTCTGTAACTCGTGTTTTGTCCCCTCGTGTTCTGTCTTCCCGTGTTCTGCCCCACGTGTTCTGTCCCCTCGTGTTCTGTCTCCTCGTGTTCTGTCTCCCCGTGTTCTGTCCCCTCGTGTTCTGTCTCCTAGTGTTCTGTCCCCTCGTGTTCTGTCCCCTCGTGTTCTGTCTCCCCGTGTTCTGTCTCCTCGTGTTCTGTCCCCTCGTGTTCTCCCTCCTCGTGTTCTGTCTCCTCATGTTGTCCCCTCGTTCTGTAACTCTCGTGTTCTGTCCCCTCGTGTTCTGTCTCCCCGTGTTCTGTCCCCCCGTGTTCTGTCCCCTCGTGTTGTCTCCTCGTGTTCTGTCCCCTCGTGTTCTGTCTCCCCGTGTTCTGTCCCCTCGTGTTCTGTAACTCGTGTTCTGTCCTCTCGTGTTCTGTCTCCCCGTGTTCTGTCCCCTCGTGTTCTGTAACTCTCGTGTTCTGTCTCCTCGTGTTCTGTTTCCCCGTGTTCTGTCCCCTCGTATTCTGTCTCCTCGTGTTCTGTCTCCTCGTGTTCTGTCTCCCCGTGTTCTGTCTCCTCGTGTTCTGTCCCCTCGTGTTCTGTCTCCTAGTGTTCTGTCCCCTCGTGTTCTGTCTCCTAGTGTTCTGTCCCCTTGTGTTCTGTCCCCTCGTGTTCTGTCTCCCCGTGTTCTGTCTCCTCGTGTTCTGTCCCCTCGTGTTCTGTCTCCTCGTGTTCTGTCTCCTCGTGTTCTGTCTCTCCGTGTTCTGTCCCCTCGTGTTATGTCCCCTCGTGTTCTGTCTCCTCGTGTTCTGTCCCCCCCGTGTTCTGTCTCCCCGTGTTCTGTCTCCCCGTGTTCTGTCTCCCCGTGTTCTGTTTCCTCGTGTTCTGTCTCCTCGTGTTCTTTCTCCCCGTGTTCTGTCTCCCCGTGTTCTGTCTCCTCGTGTTCTGTCGCCCCGTGTTCTGTCGCCCCGTGTTCTGCCCCCCCCCCCGTGTTCTGTCTCCCCGTGTTCTGTCTCCCCGTATTCTGTCTCCCCGTGTTCTGTTTCCTCGTGTTCTGTCTCCTCGTGTTCTGTCTCCCCGTGTTCTGTCTCCCCGTGTTCTGTCTCCTCGTGTTCTGTCTCCTCGTGTTCTGTCTCCTCGTGTTCCGTCGCCCCGTGTTCTGTCGCCCCGTGTTCTGTCCCCCCCGTGTTCTGTCTCCCCGTGTTCTGTCTCCCCGTGTTCTGTTTCCTCGTGTTCTGTCGCCCCGTGTTCTGTCGCCCCGTGTTCTGTCCCCCCGTGTTCTGTCTCCCTGTGTTCTGTCTCCCCGTGTTCTGTCTCCCCGTGTTCTGTTTCCTCGTGTTCTGTCTCCTCGTGTTCTGTCGCCTCGTGTTCTGTCGCCCCGTGTTCTGTCCCCTCGTGTTCTGTCTCCCCGTGTTCTGTCTCCTCGTGTTCTGTCTCCCCGTGTTCTGTCTCCTCGTGTTTTGTCTCCTGTTCTGTCGCCCCGTCTTCTGTCTCCCCGTGTTCTGTTTCCTCGTGTTCTGTCGCCCCGTGTTCTGTCTCCCCATGTTCTGCCCCCCCGTGTTCTGTCCCCCGTGTTCTGTCCCCTCGTGTTCTGTCTCCTCGTGTTCTGTCCTCTCGTGTTCTGTCCCCTCGTGTTCTGTCTCCTCGTGTTCTGTCCTCTCGTGTTATGTTTCCTCGTGTTCTGTCTCCCCGTGTTCTGTCTCCCCGTGTTCTGTCTCCTCGTGTTTTGTCTCCTGTTCTGTCGCCCCGTGTTCTGTCTCCCCATGTTCTGTCCCCCCCGTGTTCTCTCCTCCCCCGTGTTCTGTCTCCCCGTGTTCTGTCTCCTCGTGTTTTGTCCTCCGTGTTCTGTCCCCTCGTGTTCTGTCTCCTCGTATTCTGTCCCCTCGTGTTCTGTTTCCTCGTTCTGTTTCCTCGTGTTCTGTCTCCTCGTGTTCTGTCTCCCCGTGTTCTGTCTCCTCGTGTTCTGTCTCCTCGTGTTTTGTCTCCTATTCTGTCGCCCCGTGTTCTGTCTCCCCATGTTCTGTCCCCCCGTGTTCTGTCTCCTCGTGTTCTGTCTCCCCGTGT